AGCACTATCAAAGGATGCGGAGCCGACATGATTGCCAAACCCGCGATCCACTTCTCATTGTGCTCTGTAATCTCTATAAACGGGCAAGGATTCAACGTTTCATCATCATCAACTCCATGGAACTGGGAGAGAAAAAGGCCGGTTATATGCTCCTGGTTTAGGCTAAGGTTACTACCCCAGTAGATTGCGAAGGGTGAAAAACCAAGATTCCTGGGCCCGATGAGTATATTCGTAGTCATGAAGAAGAGTTCAAGAAGATGAGAATGGAGTATGTACTAAAGGGGTGGAAAGTGGAGTTTCCATCCATGGACGGATCAGAAAATTGGGGCTTGACCAAACTTAGTTTTGACCGGTCAGGTGGATTTGCAGAAGATAAGAGCAATTGGGCACAACGAAAGCAATGCGGAAACGTGGATTCGGACACTAGATAGGATGAGACCCTGCAAAACGCATTCCGTAGAATTCAAGTCTTTTGTTCAATTGGTTGTGAGGTTTATTGGTTTGGTGTGAAGGATACTCTGCAAGTATGGAGAGAATCAAAGGTCCGCATTATTCGAGGCCGAATTGTTCCTCCTTCAAAGAGCGATTGATGCTGGAATGATCAGAAGAAATTGAACGGCGGCTGGCGCTTGCTTTGCTCAGTAGGAGGTCTGCCATTGGCAGGGGTTTGTTGATATGCTGTCGTTCCATTCTTCTTCCCGCTCTCCGGTGACTCGATCTCGGACTTTGTCGGATTTCCACGATGTGTTGTCTTTCTAGACTTGGAATGCCATAGAGATTCTTCCTGTTCAATTTCTTTCAGAACTTATTAAGGATTGAATAAGTCAGCATTGTCTTTCATAACTACATCGTAGGAGATATGCTTACCTTCTTCCCACTCTCTCTCCTTCACTTCATTCCCAGTGCCCAATAATCTCTTAACATCCACATCTTCCCCTTTCTGGAGTCGTTCGATTACCTCTTGCAGCAGCCTAATTTTCGCATCCGCACTCTTGGTGTAATTCCTATATTCATTCCGAAGCATGATCATCCGGATGGCTTGGGAGCCGATAAGGGTGAACATAACCACAAAAAATGTCGCCGCATTGGGAACCCTAGACTTCCGCGGCACAGCCTGTGTTCCATGCAAATCCCGGCTTCGAAGGAATTTTGGAATCAGAGAGGTCCACATGGAAGGCTCCACGACTCTGGGGACTGCCCGTCCCGTCGCAAGACATCGGGTCGGGTACAAGGCCTTGATTGTCGAGTGTTGCAGTAGCCGAATTGGCCGGGAAAGGATGGCATTGGAACGATAAGGGCGGCGGAAATGCCTAAAAAGTAAGCCTTGCGAAGACATAGCTCGATACGGTGTTAATGGGCTATTGATATATAGGATATATCAGTTTCCAGAGCATTCACAAAAATATGCGGAGGTGGTGAATACATACGAAGTAACCTCGAAGGTAATAGCTCATTTTTCAACGCTGTTTTGACACGTGACGCCAACGTTAACCTTAAATAAACTAGAAATAGGATAGCCGTTCAAGATCTGAGTAAATCTGCTGCGAATGTTTCCGGACTCGTAAATAACCTGTAGTACTGTTGCGAAACAGATATTATATTTTTTGAGATATTCCACCAGCAGCCTTCATTGGCTACTGTGACGGGCTATAAGCATTTCAAACAGAAACGAAGATCGCACAAGGGCGGTAGCAAGGTTGTAAAAACATGGAATTAGTATCTTTCGGTGTTCAAGAACTTACTCTATGATAAGTAGCTAGTTGAAACCATTATCCATCCCTTTAGTAGAGGATTTACACAAAAAGCAACAGGGTTCGTTTAGGAAGCATGAACTATAAACAGGAACAGAATGAAGGTGGGGCGAGATATATCAAGACCAGAGTAAGAAACCTAAGGCTCCCCCCCAATGGTCGAGAAATTGCCAAACCATCGACGACAACGTTCTCCGTGCTTATGGTCTGTAAAACTCGCGACTTTCCCATTCTACTTCTGCTTCACGAGTTGAGTTGAACGGACAACATTATGATTGCTGTCTAGCTCGAAGGCCGTGTAGCACATGCGCTTATCCTCGTCACTCTGGTGTTTGAATTCCCTGGTTTGTTGTAAGGAAAACATGCTCTATTCTATTGGGGAAGACCGAAGGGGCTTGCTTCATTGCAACTACAGCAATCGTAGGCTGGAGAGAATCAAAGTTTTCTTCAACGACTTGGACAAATTCGGTTCGGATAGAGCTAGGATTCGTCGTTTTTGAGGATGAACAATGCTTTTAGGATATCTGAGCGGGCTAAACAGCAATTCAGAATCGCAGAAAATTATTGTATGGATGTTCATTCTCCAACTGCTCTTTGTACAAGTTTTCATGCTGCAGGCAGCAGATTTGACTCTGTGATGCTGCGCCGCACTTTTCGAGCGACTTGCTGAACATCAATAACTACCATTTTAATGCCAAGGCCTCCTCGAAAGGCGACAATCGTTGGCACCTTCTCACTCCCCTGCTCGCGCGCCTTTGTGAGAGAAATCTGTGGCGAGCATCAGCTGAAAGAGGCTCGCCTGCTGAGGTGTCGAGCTTGCGAGCTTTGTCGAGACACCTGAATTGGCAGAGAGTTGACTGGTTGTTTATGCCGATGTGGGGATATACCCTGAATTCCTATTTGCTAGCACAATGTGACAGCTAACGGCAGAAAAAAGGTTGCTGCCGCCTTATTCAGACGCTAACTAACTAGTCAATTACTTAATGCCGTTCCTTAATCACAGTGGTCACATGATCTGGGGTAGGCGCTCCTCTGACCTTAAATAACTAGTTAGATGGATAGTTGAACTGAATAATTTTAAAATACCTTCCATCTGAGGCGACAATGCTATAGTATCAACATGTTGGTTTGCCTCTAGTGCTGCCATCGGGCTCTCTTTCTTTCTTGGCCGTTCGTCTTTGCAAGAAGCCGGGCTTGTTTAAACCTCACGATGCTGAAACTCTCCACCTGCAAACCGGCTTTATCACTGCACACCATTTTTTCGTCGCAGAATAAGCACAATGTCAACCGCCCTGGCAGACTCTGAGGAGTACGTCGGCCAGTCTGGTCATAGGTGCAGGGTGGAGCGGGTGCTTTAGGAAGAATAATTTCCCCCACGCCGGGTTTGCCTTGCTACGTGAGTCGGCGCTATTTGTGGATAGATATCAAGGCGGACCAGGATGAAATCTTTATTGAGCGAGTCCAGCTTGGGAACCTTTGAAGCTGAATCACATATGATTGGAAAACAGGCAGGGAACTTCATGTGGTGGAGTCCCGAAGCCCATGCCATAGGACCTGTGAATAAGCCGTCTGATATTTTCTCTTTTGCTCTTATTGTAGGCTTGTCATGAATCTCTACACTCATAAGCTCATGCATTCTAGCTTATCATATAGAGCATGTTGTGTGATGCATCAACACGTCATCTTTGCTGTTGAGGAAAGGAGTTGGCTTGAGTGTGTAGGTTGCTTGGCCGTTGTAATAGAGCGTCAAATCTTATATTTTGCAGATGAAGACGGACTGAAAGGGTTTTTGAAATATATTGGTGATAATCCCTAGGTTTGTGTTTAAGTACTCTGGGATGGCTTCAACAAAGGCAACCCACGCAGACCATTTTCGCTTTGGAAGGGTGCTTGTGATGATTTTAAAAGCATTATCTGTGCAATGGCGAATTTTGATCCGGAAAAGAAGACCACTGCTCATGAGGCGTTGGCACACAAGTGGTTTGAAGGTATTTAAGATAGGCAGAGAAGCAAAGGTTTGTGAAATTAATACCGCCAATCCGTCCTTCTCAACGCATGGCATTGAAATGTCTGCCATGCAGTCAGATAATCAGACAAAGTCTGTGTTGACATCTTATACTCTCCAATCATAACAGATCGAGACACCGTTTTCCAATTACTGTGAAGAACTCGCCTTATATATCCTAAGTGCTTAACCGTGGTTTAATGTTTCTCTTTTTTGCTCCAGTCTTATTTCGTCTCTTAAAACAAAACCTCTCCTCACTTCGACGAGCTTTAACCATTTCCAATCCCTGAGTTAGTAATCATAGCAGTCTTCAGATCATCCGCAGCATATTGTTGGCATCGAGACTGATAATGCTCCCGATATAAATACTGCTACTATGCTTTGGCGAATAGTAGCGATCACATGACTCCGCTAGCCATGTATCTATATTCTGTTGTGGGATGTGGCCCCAGCTGGCTACGATTGGAATGGTGTGCATGGGTGAGAATATTTTATCACTGCTGGTGATGGGGGTGGGGAGAAATTGGTTGTTCTGGGCAGTGCCACGTTGATAGCTTATCACCAGATGTGCTGTTCCTGCACTGCAGTCTTTAACAACTGGCTTATTATGGAAAGTTGAACAAAGATATTCTAAATCAAGTTGACATTCCGCATGCAGAATAATTCAAATGGAAATGATAGTTCTTGACTTGATCAGCTGTGTTGATGCACACACTATCATTTCTGTCTTCTTGATTGCTTTAATATCGGCTCTGTTGGATGAGTATTGTGTGTCAAAACTTACTCCAGAGACATCTCATCAATGACAGCCTGAATGAGATCTGTACACTGCATGTCATAAACATTCCTGGTAAATGTGTATGCACTCCATCATAATAATAATAATAATAATAATAATAGATCTACATGATAGTGAGTTTAGGTTGTATTAAACTATTTATAAAAACTTATAAGGTAGGAATTGTGACAGTAAATTCATTATTTAACTCGCCCAGCTTTATTGTAATATCATTGACTATAGTTAACTAAAGTGAACTGTAATCATACTAGTTCTTTACATACTTTATGTACGATGCGCTAGAGCAAAATAGGAATGGTTAGGGCACATATTGATTATGTCATCAGATGGTTGCCCCGGCAACCACAGTTGACCGTCATCTTTCGAAGATCAAAATTGCCGACCTCTAAAAGATTCACGGTCTTCATCAAAATAACGACGACGACATTGAGCTCGGATAACACAAATGGAGGAATCAGCGTGTCCTACACACGTTTTAGAGGTGTCGGTCAAACAGGCTGTCAAGTCGGCAAATACATGTTCCCCCGAAACTACCGCGTTGCTCAAACGACTTCTCTGCCTGAGCTCGACGGCAAGCACGCATCATCGAGATGAACAGCCCATTGACGTTAAATCAACTAGGCGGCCGAAGAGCTCGAAGGATCGGAAGGCTCCTAAGCCAGTACAACCAAAATTCTCTGCCGAATCCTTCAGATCTCAAACACAGTTTGGAGCAGAGACTGGACGGCTGTTGCAGAAAGAGAAGCTTGTCTTAGCTACCGAAGTATTCAATTCCGCGTCAAAAGCACTCTCCGATTTTATGAAATCCTCTACGGACTGTCAAAATTCCAGAGTCTCCGTGAAAATTGCCATTGCCACGCCCCAAAAGAGCCTGACTCTAAGACGACCATTACAATCAGTCTCCCCAAATTCGACCATTTCCTCCCCGGTCAAGACGAAACCCATGGGCGAAGCCACCTCCAAAAAGGATATCCAAGGTTGTGGGATTGTGGAAGTTGCAAATTGTGCTCGGGTGGCGTTGTCATATCTTTGTGACTTGAGGTCGTCTCCAGAAGAAGGGATGCCACCACTCAATACCCAACTTGAGCAAGGGTTTTGCGTCTTAATTGGGAAGCTGCTTGCTGTTGGTTTACATGAAGCTGCAATAAATGAACTCAGAAAGCTGAAGAGGAGGATACAGGGATATCTAACAAGTGAACCACTACATGAGAAATCTCAGGATAAAAAAAAGCCCTCCCGCGCCAGACAACGCGACGAACCAGTCAAGGAAATTCTAGCTGACCTTATCCAAATTGACAAGGTTCCTTCCAACGATCTACTTTTAAACCTGGTTATTTCTTTTCAGGCTCAAGCCCTCAAAGTCATTGCGACCGACAAAAAGCCATCCACTGTGAATAAGCTATGCGACTTACTTTTATTATCGAATCCAACAAGCCCTGCAAGCATCATCCTTACGGCATTGAATAAAGGTGTTTTGTCCACCGAAAAAGCTGCTCAGCAGTTACAATCACTCTCATACGCTGTGCTTTCACTTGCTTCACCTACCCCAAACGCTGAAAATGAGAAATCTTCACTTGCAAAGCCTCGCGTTAAGTACACAACTGCTGTGAATCTCCAAATTCTGTCGCTTGAAATACGGTGTATGTGGTGGAAAGTCTGTGGACACAAGGGCAACATGGAAAAGGAGTTATGGCACCCGTTGGTTCGTTACCTCATGGCATTTGCCAGACGATGCTCGACCATCACAAAGAGCGATTTTGAAATAGTGAAGCAGGCTTTCCTGCGGCTGGAATCAACCGTGACGACCAATGGATATGTCTTTGTGCCACCTGCTGGCCAATTTGGTTCCGTGTCAACTGTTATGAAAGTGCTTGGTCAATTGGCTCAGAGTGCTGATTGCAAAGTTGATGCCCTGGAATTTTTCGATAACTGCATTTCGTCTCTCACAGTTGACCAGCCTCTGCTCCTTGCTATCTGCAACTGCAAGATTGCTCTCCTGCGACTGGAGACAATGCAGACTCGAAAGATTGCTCGTGCATCTAAAACTGCGTCTGCCGTATCGGAAGCGTTGAAGGGTTTAGCAGCTCCCTTGAAGGGAAACCAGTCCGATCTCGAGGAGTTGGTTATCGAGTCTGCCAAACTTAAGAAGGTGGCAATGGGTTTTCTGAATACACTTGGCGATGCGGCAATGAACGCAAATGACGGAGAGTTAGAATACGGACCGCTAGGACTATATATCATTGATTATCTCAACAGCTTTGTCAGGTTCCTGACTCGCTATCTTGCGCAGACATCACTTACGCAACTCGAAGCCGATACTACGACCAATTGCCTGCTTCAAGAGCGACTTTTAAAATGCAAGAACATTGTACTCTCAGCAGTCGATTCGGCCGTCGCGGTTGGGAAAATATCGGTTGTCGCAAAGCGACCCTCTTGGCCCGATGTCCAACCTCTTTTGTCGAATTGTTTTACTCTCCTTAAATCACTTCATTCGGCGGAAAGTATTGAAAACCAAATAAATATATCAGATTCGACATCAGCTAGCTTCGTTAAGCTTTCAAATATCTACTGGTCCCGCTACGTCAAACAAAAAGAGCTTGGGGCATCTCCTTCCGACCTCATTCCTTTGTTAGAACGGTCAACGAGCCTTCTACGAACATGCCCGCCAGAAAATTCAGCTGGGTTCCTGGCTACCAAATGGGAACGATTAGCCTGTTTGTACTCCGACATTTCTCAGACTCAAAAATCTAGAGAAGCCTATCGGTCCGCTATCCAGGCGCATATCAACGGCGGTGCTTTGAAATGCATAACCCAATCTGCTGCGACGAAACCTCTATCATCGATCCTCAGAGATTCATCATTTCCTTTAGGCCGTGTGTTGTCTAATTATGCTCGATTTTGCTGGAAACGCGCGTATCATCCTCGCGAAGCCGTCTTTGATGACGTGAATCTGGAACCCGAAGAAAGAGGGCTCTTACTCGAATGTCAAGTCATGGCCTTGCTAGAAATACCTTCCTCTAGCGAATCAGATGGTAAAATGTCGCCTTTACCATTCATAGTTTCGGCTTTGTTGGACATATATCCACTGAACTCTTATCCAATACGCCGGTTGAGGGTTATCCTTCAAACTATTCGCCTTTCACTCCATGATCCAAACCACGTTGGACCCGAACTCTTTGAAAACATTCTAGAAGAAACTCATACTTTTTTGTCTGATAAATTTGATCTCGGGAATGATTCTGGTCTCTTCCAGTACAAAGAATCCATGCTGACCTCCCTTCGGTTCACCCTGGGATTATTGCAAGGAGGTTTACCTACGGAAAACCTACAGAAAATTGCTTACTCTTGGGCTTCAATTGCACAAAGCTGCCAAACATGGGAGTCCATCCTCGCAAAGATAGATGATCCGGAAACATTCATCTCACAATTGAAAGTGCTTGTCAATTATTTTGAGGTGCTTGGGCTATGGAAACTTAGGATATCTGCACTTTCAACGCTTCGACATGTTTTGGAGGTCCATGAAACAAAGGATTTTCCCGAGATACTATTGTGTTTATCTCAGCTGGGCCTTCAATACAGTCGCCTTGGATACCTTGAAAGGGCAGGGTCTATATTTCACACTGGGGGTGGTCTCCTCCAGAGCAATGATATGTTACCTCTGGTGTTGATTTCTTGGAATATTGGGCTGGCTGAATATCTTACCGATATAGGACATTTTGATAGAGCGTGAGTTTATCTATCCTTAAATACCCTATTTCTCTATCTCACCTTCTTTGTCTGCTGACTGGACTAGTATCGAAACATTGAATAGCACTAAGGCAACATTTGAGCAAAACTGCAACCAGGTTTTAAAGTCCAACTTTCAAGTCAGGCTGACATGGGAAAGATTGGTAGCGGAAGCTGCCTATGCAAACTCTCGAATATATTTTGAACTTGGATCAGTTAAACGTGCTATGTTTTTTGCTAAATCTGCTGTTAAATTAAACAACAGGATTTGGGCAAAATTAGACAAGATTTCTGATATGAAGCGGCAGAAATTATCTTCTGATGCTTCTGACTCAGACGTCGGTGTCCTCTCGAGTACTTTCGAAGCTACCAGTCTAGTATCAGATTACCGCTGCAGAGGAGATCATATCTACCGCGAAGGTTCTTTGTATTGGCCGCATTTCACGTCACATTACATTGGACTTGTCAATCTATCCAGACTTTCTGCACACAATGGTCTTTTCCAGGACTGTGTCTTCTTTGGAGAGCAGGCGCTAAAAGTCTGCCAGGCAATCGGTGCCACTTCCTCAACATCGTTTATTCAGGCCGAACTTGGAATTTCCTGGCTTCGTGGTGGGCATGTTCTAAAAGGTCAAGAGTTATTGGACATCGCGTCAGGTGCAGCTAGCAAGGAGGGCCAGCGTCTGGAAACTGTCTCATTTCATATGGCGTTTTCCTTGCTCCATCAACTTCAGGGAAACCTAGAAGAAAGAAGCAAGTCCCTTGACGTAGCTCATCGAACTTTGTTGGAGATTTCGCGACATGACACGACTGAACCAACAGATGGTTCAATTCCAGACCTTGGTATTGAGTCCAAAATGAGCCAGCTACAGATCGATACCAAATCCCGGAGCCGAAACCCGCCAGCGACCCGACAAACAAGGGCGAGACGCTTGAAAACTTCCGAAAACCCATCTCCCAACTCGAAAAACCTAAGCTCAATGGCGAAGGCACCACTTCCACCACGCTCGTTTTCGCAACTCAAAGTTGATTTGCTTCACCAGCAAGTTGTGGATTTATTGTCGAGTCATGATTTTGCAAAAGCTTCTGCTCTTCTGGAACAAGCTGACCAACTTCCCAAATCCAAAACTCGCGAGACGACTTACCTGATTTCCAGGGCGCAGTATTTGCTTTGTAATTGGATTCAAAAACTCACTTCTCACTCTATATACTGTGTTCTACCAGAGTCAACAGTTTCGCTTCCCTCCGTATATTTGGCGAACAAGACCACAGATGAAAAACCCACTTCCATAAAGTCTCGAAGCACCCAAAAGCTACCACTAACAGCGCGAGCAAGGGCAACTACATCAACTGCGAAAGGAAATACTCGGGCTGGTGCCAAAGAGTTTGCCGATATGCTAACTGCAGCAAGACAATTACTCCCTGTTATATCATCTTCAGTCCCGATTTACGGATCAACCACCCACAACCATATTGTGTCGTATATTTCGAGTCAATTATGCATGGTATCGCATGCAACATGCTCAAAACTGGAAATTTTCTCGAACCCGCTCCAAGCAGCAGTTACTATTGGTATGTATTACAACCACCATACTCCATTTCGGATGATCTTAAACTAATGATATATAGAAAACGGGCGAAACCTAGCTTTTTATAGGGAACAATCTTGTATTGCAATTGACAAAGAGTTGTGTGGTCCAGTTGAACCTTTGAAATGGCCAACTGCGCCCAGCAATTGCGCGAAATCTGAAAAACTCGAGTGCATCGAGTTTATGCAAGACTATGTCGATATCTTACCCGATACCTGGAATGTTCTCTCATTGACTCTGAGCAATGACCGTAATGAGCTCATTATATCCAAATTACGGTCCGGAAAGCCACCTTTTTTGCTCCGTCTTCCATTAAAGCGAGGTACATCAGAGCACATGGATGAGGAGGAATTTAACTTTGCGGATGGGAAAAGGGAGCTTCTCGAAGTCATTCAACTAGCCAACAAGAGCGCCCACGATGCCAAGGCGCGTGTCGATAAGAATTCGAAGAAGGAATGGTGGGCGGCGCGAAAATCGTTAGACAATCGCCTAAAAAACCTTCTCAATAACATCGAAGCTATTTGGTTTGGTGGTTTCCGTGGCATATTCTCGCAATGTTCCCCCAACGAATCTCTCTTCTTCCGATTCATTGACTCGTTTGAGAAAATTCTCGACAAACATCTTCCATCGCGACGACATCGCGGAAAGGGTCGTGTTCTTAAAACAAATTTCCACTGGAATGTTATGGAATTGTTTGTCAACATTGGAAATATTGATGAGGGTCCAGACCCGGATGATCTGGTTATGGACCTTTTGTATTTCGTTGTCGATATACTCCAGTTTCAAGGGGAAAGGAATGCGTATGACGAAATCGATTTCGATATGATGGTTATTGAGACTCTCAGTGCGATACGCGTCTACAAAGAAGCAGAGAAAAGAGAACGGAGATCCAAACAGACATACCGCACAATTCTCATTCTTGACAAAGAGCTGCACTCGTTTCCATGGGAATCTCTCGAATGTTTGCGCGGATCCTCAGTGTCCCGAATGCCATCTTTACACCACTTGAAAGAGACTGTGTTGAAACTTCGAGCCAACAATGATCTTGGAGAAGCATTTGACGGATTTCACATTGACCGTAACCATGGCTCATATATCCTTAACCCTGGAGGGGATTTGAAATCGACACAAGGTACCTTTGAAGGCTCATTGCTAAGCTTAAATGGGTGGAGAGGTATCGTCAACAGAGAACCAAGCGAGGATGAATTTAAGCAATTCCTGGAAAGCAAAGACTTACTACTCTACTTCGGCCATGGAAGCGGAGCGCAATATATCCGAAGCAGGACGATTAAGCGATTGGATCGATGTGCTGTCACTTTCCTCATGGGCTGCAGCAGTGGTACCTTGACCGAAGCGGGAGAATTCGAGCCGTATGGGACACCAATCAATTATATGCATGCTGGGGCACCTGCTCTTGTCGCTACGCTCTGGGATGTCACCGATAAGGACATTGACCGTTTCGCGCAATCCACATTTGAGCATTGGGGTCTGATGAACAAAGCACCAGCCGAGACCACTCCACCGGGCAGACCCAAAGGATCAAAGGCTACCAACGCCCTGCAACACCTACAGGGAGATGACCCCGTAGGGCTTGATGCCGCTGTTGCTAAGTCACGAAGCGCGTGTATATTGAAATATCTGAATGGCGCAGCACCTGTGGTTTATGGAGTTCCCGTGTTTTTGAAGTAATGGGGTGTTACCGTTTCTGTGTTCTAGGTTCTTTTCTTTTTTTTCCTTGTTGATATGCCCCATTTATTTACCTACGGCAATTTATTATACAAACTTATTGATAGACTCTTCTGCAAATTGGATATGGCGTTGGAGCAGAAGCGAAAGATTCATCATATTAAATACATATAGATTATTTTTTTAGGCGTTGATTTTCATTGTTCAGTTAGCTACGTTAATATTGAATTGTACAGATGCACATCAGGTTTTTTATTCTTCCCAGTATTCTTCTTCTGCACGAGCACAAGGCCGGATGCATACTTTCTTGTTCATGCTGCTCTTTTTGGTTCCTGGGCAGTCAAATCCAATGGTGAGGGGAAGCCAGTAACGATGCGGGGATATATTTTGGAGACGTTCCCAAACTCTTCCCCTCTTCCCTCATGACGTCCCAACTTTTCTAGTAAAAGTCTATACGTCTTGTTTCCCAACATCCATTTAATTTTAAATGCCAACTTACCTCCGTATCTCATCCGTCAATTAACCCAAAGTCCCCTTCTGCCCAACGCCATCCACGCAACATGCCTATCACAACCAAAGCGACCATCGCCTCCTTTGGGGGGAAGCTTCTGAAGCTCACTCACAATGCCACCACGACCAATTGTGAAATGGCATTCAACCTGTATCTGCCCCCGCAGGCTTTAAAAAATCCATCGCAAAAAGTGCCCGTCCTCATATACCTTTCCGGCCTCACCTGTACGGCAGACAATTGCTCTGAGAAGGGTTTCTTCCAACACGGTGCTAGTAAGAAGGGGATTGCGATTCTCTACCCCGATACGAGTCCCAGTACGTTTCGACATCTCCAACGCTTTCCATGTAGCCATGTTCGTGTTCTGTTTAATAGATTCGGGGCCCAAATACATTCATGTTCTGGTTAGTTTAACTGTAATATTCTTATTCCAATCAACGTACAGGAGGCCTAAACATCGAGGGCGAGAATGATTCATGGGACTTTGGTACCGGGGCCGGCTTCTACGTTGACGCCACGAAGGCTCCATTCGATAAGGGTTATAACATGTATAGCTACGTCACAGAAGAGCTGCCAAAGACGGTATTTGCTGCATTCGAGCAATTAGATTCGACACGAGTTGGCATTATGGGCCATAGCATGGGAGGACATGGTGCTCTGACGTTGGTGGGTTGTCATCTCTCTCCCACTCACCCCTAGAAACCCCGATCAGATCCTATATTTCTTGAATATCAACATCTGGGATCATTGTCCAATGGCAGAGGAATGACAAAATTTGAAAATCCCCCCCTTTCTAACATTACTTCTTCCCAGTTCCTGAAAAATCCCGGCAAGTACAAGTCCGTCTCCGCCTTCGCTCCCATCTCCAACCCCATCAACTGTCCCTGGGGTCAGAAGGCGTTCAAGGGATATCTAGGCGATGATATGCAGAAGTGGAAGGAATACGATGCCACAGAACTTGTCAAGAAATGGAAAGGCCCGCTTAACGCCCTAATTGATGTTGTATGTCACTTTATATCAGCAAATCGTATTCCATCTCCTCACTCTTTTGACCACCCCTCTTTTCCAATCCATACCAAATTTCAACCAAATCGATCCTTCAAGAAATTTTCATCCATATACTAACCAACCGAACTACTCCTAGGGCACCGGCGACGATTTTTATAAACAGGGGCAACTCCTTCCCGAGAACTTTGCTCAAGCGGCCAAGGAGGCTGGCGTTGAGGGCTTGGGTATCCGGTATCAGGAAGATTATGACCATAGCTATTACACCATAGCGACGTTCTCGGATGATCATGTCGAGCATGCGGCTAAATATCTATTTGCATAGTACGTATATTATTTATTTAGTGGCGTCTATTTGGCAGCTAATTTGTTAGGTTGTCATTATTTGTGGCTTCTTACATTTATATTTTGCGCCTGATTGACTAGCCAGCCAAAATATGCTGACTTTGGTAGGAGTGATAAAAGTTCGCCATTACGAAAATTGTAATCGCTGAGCTGAAGTTAACTCACTAATTAACTATATAAACAGATATATGTTGGACAAAATGCCCACGGGCTTTTAGGTGTAGCTATTACACATAACCTCAAGTGGAGAAGGCAGACATTCAAAAGTATTATATACTCTAGCAAATCATACTCGAAGACAAATCTATATATATTTTTATATTCATTTCACATCACATCTCATAATCAACTAAAGACTCTCTTTACCTATAGCGACATTTACCAAAAAGCCTAACTCTTTATTGAACATTGTCCAGTCCTTCCATAACGCTTTGCTTCAACCTTCACATGGACACCCAAATCTCAACAGGATGAAAGGCTTCAGATCCTCTGTCCCGATTTTCGTTTCATAATTAAGTCCGTCCACCCCCTCGCCCGTCGATGACACAATAAATTCCTCTATCATCCATATCACTCCATTGTCACTCTCCAAGATACATCTCATCTCCAACACACTGGCCAATGTAACGTCGGCTCAAACTGCACCGCACAATCCGCAGCGCGCAACATGAAACGAATAAAAGAGCGAACGCGAACGCAATTGCAAAGCGGAAAAAAGAGAGGTATCTTCTTTCCTCGTTTAATTGTCTCATAACATAACAAGGATCAGAAAAGGAAAGGAAAGAATATGACTTACACGTTGGCACTTTTCTTCGAAGGAAAAGGAAAAATGAATAAAAAAGAACACATTACGTTGGAACAACGCCTAGCATGCACATGAATTTTGTAACCGTGTCTCGAGAAATGAAAGCGGAAAAACCAACAGAGTAGAAGTAAATTGTCAATTCAAGTGAAGTGAAGAATAGGGTTGGTGATAAAATATGAAGGAGCAGAATATGACAAGGGTAAAATGATTAAAGGTACGATTTTCGTTTCGCGGTTTTTGAACTTCAAATATTTTCTTCACTTGCGTTGGTCTTTATCTTCGATGATTGGGCATGTCGACAGTTATTTGACTTGCCTCATCGAAAAGCTTCCTTCGATGGAAAAGAGAAATGGAGAAAGAGGGTTCGACAGACACGGGTCGTAGAGCATAAGAAGATGTGTGTATAGATGAATGAGCAAATCCCTCCGGGTATGGATATCGTAGCGAATAAGAGAGAACGAGTTCCGTGATATCATGCGCTTAATCGCTGGATAAATGACTGCAGAGGAACGTGAGATTCAAGTTAGATGACGGTGTATCAAAAGAAGAAGGGAGGAAATAACGAACGGTAGAACCAGGAGGAGACACCCATACCTGAAAAAATTGCCGGAACCCTTTCACATCCAAGTGCTCTAAGGACCCCACATACTCATTGACAAGATCACTCCCCATCCCCATGCCAGGCAACTCTCTCCCTCTCAGGTAGTTAATATACTCCTGTCCCGTTTTTGAGTATATAACTTTCTGCAGCGCCGCGGCTTCGCCAAGGACCTGCTTTGCCTGTGCGTCCTTTGGGTTGAAGGAGGGCGTCATAGGGAGGGACCAGCAGAGCGGAGAGAAGCGGTTGATCATGAACTGGGCGAAGCCTGGTAGGGCCGGCTGCGGGGTTGTGTTGGCATTGCCGTTGGCGGCCGGTTGAGTGATGTCCGGTCCACCCCATAGACTTGACATGCGGGATAGGACTAGGAAGGCCATCTTGGCTGTGGGGAAGTCATCGACGTCTCGGGCAAAGTGTTCGATTGTGCTTAGGACGGTTTCGAAGATTGGTTGGTTTGCTGTTTTTGGACAAAATTTTCATGTGTTAGTTTGGTTATGTTTATTAGGGATAAATGGGGAGGTTTGAAAACAAGGTTATTGAGGAACTTACTGCTGCTAATTATAACGGTTCCAAGGTTATTATTCAGAATCATTAGCAAGAAGTTGAGATACTCTCGCTTCAGTTCGGCAAGTTGTATCTCATCGTCCGTACCGGTCGTGGGATCGGAGATTCCAGCAAATACACGCTGCAGGAAAGGCGTTAAGAGCGTGTCGAGGATACCATAAATCTCAGTCTTAAATCCAAAAATGATTTGATCCAGTAAGCGCAAAAACAACGCCATTTCATCTTTGGAGGATGTCTCCGTCATCAATCCATCAATCCACCGGGGAAGCTGGGGTAAATTCTGAGAACCACGAACACCGACTAGTCTAGAGAATGCAAATCTAGCAGCAGTTCTAATGTTGAAAGAGGATTTCAGTGACTCGAGAGCCACCAAGGTAGCTTCAGATACTTGGTTGAAGGCTTCGGAGATCTCTGGTGCAGGGAGTGCAGCAGGTGCTATCGTCCCTGGGGTCCAGTCCGAGAATCCTCGAGCTAGCGTACCCAATGCCATTATATCATGGTGGATTTGTAAGATAGACTGTTCGTCATTTGATTTTGCAGCTCCAAGATGTCTTTCCATATCCATGAAGATGGGAGTCATGACAGATTGGGCGTAGGCGACTTGTTGGTCAACTGGGACGGAAGTGGTAGAGCAGATACAACCGATGGCCTCGAAAAGATACAACTGACTATTAAACACGGCATCTGCGGATCCTTCATGATCTTCAGATGACATATCGTCACCGTCGGACCCTTCTTGAGGAACTTCCGCTTGGATGACAAGGAGGTCGCCAAGGGCCTTGATGACGGTTTGCGCCACATTGCCAATGCGATTCCGAAGATGTTTAAGGAATCGATGGAAAAGATACCAAGATCTGGTCCTCACTTTTTTGACTGGATGATGAACTAATTGTAGGAAGGATTCTAAAACGCCTGGGATAAGATGCACATGATGATCGAAAAAGGAGCTATACCGTACACAGATCTCCATATACTGGAGCTGAGTTGCTGGATGGGTAAACGACCTGACGTCTGTAAACAATAGTTAGCATACAAGCAGTGCAAAAATGAATTAAAATGTCCAAACTCACCAGCTTCAACCATCCGCAGCATCATCTTCACCAATAGTTCTGCAGCAGCATTGTTCACCTTATTTTTGACATACAAGCCGCCTGCCTTCAGAGCAAGGTCTCCAAAGAGGAACATCTCGTGCAACGCAAGATCAAGATCCCTCCAGTCAACTTGGGCACCAGGTTGTCTGAGATTGTCCAAAGTTGTCCCCACGATTTCACTAACAACATCCATGTAGAGCGGCTCGTTTGAAGAAGCGACAATCTGCTGAAGTACGTTCAAACGCTTTCGAAGTTCCTGAAATTCAGCCTCATCTGTTTGATCATCGTCATCGCCCCATGATGAGGTTTCATCATATCTCATCTTAGCAATGATAGCCTTTAGGATTAGCATCAACATAGGCGCTTGCTGAGGGGCGAGAGCTGGATTCTTTTTGGCGGTTTTGCGGAAGTACGATAGAAGATCGTTCATAGAGGGGATTACAGTCGAGCATACCTCGTCGTACTCGTCCGCGAAATATCGAAGAATATGTGGGAGGAAGGATTGTAGAAGCGATTCTGCTTTCTCTTTGGTGGCAGAATCAACAGTATCATTATCTAGAGACCGGACAATATCAATTGTTGTAATGTTCACTAGCCTGGCCACCGTTTCCGCAAGGTCAGTGTCGTACTTGGAGGTAAAGCGATGGTCATGAAGCGGGGGGCTTCCAGTAAGTTGAGCGACTGTGTTCTCTAAATTGAGAAATAAGATCATGTCGATTTTGTCTGACGGTTTCATCTTCTTGCCCACAATCTCGGTGAATACATCAACTGCCGCATCTCGGACTTTTTCCGCACCCTCGGGAAGATTAGGATCCTTGGCTCTGGCAAGCTGCTGGAACAGCAGATCAAGCATAGTCTGGTTGACGACTAGCGATATATCAATCCAACTGACCCAACTGCCAATGGCTTTCAGGCATATCTCCGTGATGCTATCGTTTCCAGTCTGCCAGTTTGAGAGAATCTCCTGCCACGAATTGACCAGTTTCTGCACGTCCCTCTGGCGTACAAGATCCTTGAGCAGGTTTGCTTTATCCTGTTCCGCCCGCGATCTCGAAACCAGCACATCTCCAATCTCATCATGGATCGAGTTGATGACCCGAAGGTAAAATATGACACCGAGGGAATTATCCTTTGACGAGCTTTGGGGGCTGTTGTATGTCAGACGAAGCAGGTCATCGAAGAAGGTCTCCCATCCATTCGCATAGAGCGCAGAGAAAAGATAGGTCAACGTCTGAGCCACCTTATTTTGTAAACTGGCGGGATCCATCTGGGTGGAGGAATCCGAGCCATACATCTGCCCAAGATACTCCATCAGGCGACCCTTTATGTACCTCAACCCTTGCAGGTCCACCATTCCAGTCTGGGTGGCGCTGTTGAGGATTTCCAGAGCGACATGGCGCACAACTTCAGAGTGTCGGGGCAATTTGGTGAAGATAGGAAGACACACGTGCCACCCAGACGGATCTGCTCGGAGACGGTTGAGGTATTCAAAGGCTTGAGCCTTGACTGTTTGATCTGAGGAAGGGTTCCAAGCGATTTGGATGGCGTTCGCTACCTAGTGATCAAAAACATGTCAGAGATGTTGAGGAGAAAGGGGGGTGTTGAGTGCAGTTTCATCGAGGGGTGGTAACAAAAGAGATTTGGTGTGGGAAGAAAAATAACGCTGTATAGATATTTACTTGGTCCTCCATCGTTTGGCCAGCCAATGTTGGTTGTTCCAGACCACTCCGATGAAAATGCTGCCACAAGGACCAGCAACTAGGGATAGTCTACCTGCGAGAAGCTATGTTGCCCTGCGCAGGAGAGTTGTGTTGTGTGGTTGAGAGTTTTTGCGGAGTGTCATCACTCTCCTTAAGCCATGGTTAGATCAACCCAGGGGGGGGGAGGGCGACGAACAGTTAATAGTAGAGGGTTCTATAAGCGGTAATTACTGGACCTGGCCGAGGTATTGCAATTAAGAAGACGTTTTGCAGATTGATCCTGGTTGCTCTGCAAGGTGGAAACAGGAGTGTTGTGACTATTTAGTCCTGAGAGTTGAGGTTGAGTGAAGTTGAGACAGCAGGCAACATTATCGCCGCATCCTCCTGCGCCTTGACCCTGGTTTACTTAAGAATCACCACCGCCACCACCACCACCGCCAAACCACCCAACCACCCAACCACCCTGCTACCTGCACCCTCACACTCCGCACACCGCATAAATCAACTTGCAGATGCTCACTCTCTGCTCCAGGCTTTAAAATTCAAATAGTCCAAAAAAAATTGCATTCGTCTGGTAATCGTTTATCTGATAGTTAATATGTGTACTCTCTTCTTTCAGCAGAAAACCCAACTAACCTAGGTATTAATAATATACCATTCACACGGACAAGTCAAAACCTCCATTTCCTTCGCCGATTCTTCTCTTGCTAAAAATGCCGATTCCTTCGGCTGCTGCTGCTACAGTGCTACCTACATGTCTATATTAATATACCGGGGCCCTCACGGATGCATGCATTCTCCGCTTGCAGCCCACGAGGCCTCTCGTTGAAATACTCCCACTAACAATAACCCGGCAAACCCTTTAAATACGGATGAGAGAATCAATCCAGTTGGCAAATTTACTGTCCATGCCAGAATTCTGGTCCTCGATATTCAGCAAAAAAGGGTTATGAGGCAAAGGCTTTGAAAGACAAATGGGTGAAGGACTCGCAATTGAAGGCATCAAAACCGAGCAAAAAGGATTATAAGGCCAAGCTACTGTCGAAAAGGACTAGTTATCTTTATAAACTAGTCCATTTCCGTGTTCAGTTGACTTTTCTCGGATGCACAGCTATCAGCTATTATTCGTCCTGCCCTATCAGTATCCTCTCTCTGGATCCTTCATGACAGGTGACAACGAAATTTCCCCACCGCTCAACCAGTGCAGAGAGAGGGAACACTCCAGGTTGGGGAACAGCCATGCATGTAATAATAGGCAAAGACGATAAGTCTCAAAACACACATGGTGTCCGCCGCCAGTCGTCGGAAGAGAATCCATAGCCCTAACCAGTAAGAGGTATTGCTGGACGAGAATCGTATCCAGCAGGCTAATAATTTCCCCAAAAAGGAGTATTTTGAGGGAGATCCACTATTATTATACAACTCATGATGAATAATTGTGTATATTCCTCCTTGTATCGTATTCTATCATTCAAAGGGGAGTAAAGGGGGTCCATAAAACTCAGGGGTAACATTTTCAAATGAAGCACTCGAAGAGAAGCAACCCCCGAACAAAAATGTACAAGATAAATAAACCTGAAGAGGAAGATAAAAGAAAGAAGGGGTGAATAAAAGGGACACAGAACCTTTATCCCACCTCCCTGCCCTCCCCAACCTCCCTCAGTACCTCCCTCTCCATCATCTCAAACCCCTCCAACGCCCTCCCAAACCTCCCAAACACCTTCCCCCAATACCCCCGGGCAATCCTCTCCACAAACTCACCCTCCCTCCACCTCTCCTCAATCAACTCCTCAAACCTCTGACCCTCACCCTTCTCCATCGCCCACACAGCCTTATACGCCGCCCCAAGCGCGCACGCATTCTCCCCAACATCCAACTTATAAACCCCTTCAACACCACCCAGCACCTCGCCAGCGACTTTCGGAATGGCTCTATTGCGCGACCCGCCCCCGACAAGGTATACACTGCGGGGCTGCGCCGGGAGGTCCGGTGATGGGCTGTACAGGAGAGCGAGGGAGCGCAGGCGGAGGGAGAGCATTTGGCTCTCGACAATGGCACGGGCGTCATCGAGGGGTCTGTCCCAGCCGTCTTGGGATTGCGTTAGGGTTTTTGTGCCTGGGTTGTAGGTGAAGTGCCATTCGCCGCGGGGGATGTTGGGGACTATTTCTGGTTTGGGGAAGTAGAGGGCTAGTTTCATGGGGTCGGATTCTGTGCGTTGGCCGGCTGTGGGTAGTTGGTGGATGGCTTTGTCGAAGTTGTGCCAGGGGTTTGATGGGGTGGTGCCTATGTTGTTGTTGTTGTTGTTGATGGTGGTGGTTTTGGCCAGTTTCTCATTGATGGCGTCACGGACTTGTTCGCGGGCGAGTCCGCCGTTCTTTTAGCAGAGCATGAACATGTATAAGCCTGGTGTGGTTGGGTGGTTGAAGAAATGCGTTGAGGGATCCGGTTTATATTCTGGAGTTGACATGAGGAAGGTAGTTGAGGTCCCCAGCGACACCATTGCGTCCCCCGGACGTAGGGGGAGGGCGAGGATTGTAGCTGGGTTATCTCCCGTGGACGGGATTATAACGCAGTCCGGGTTGAATGAATATCGGTCGACAAAGTAGCGGTTAATTTTACCTAGGTGGATGCCGCCGTCGTCAGGCACGTCGCCTAACTTCTATTTTAAATCGACCACTCCATACGGTCCTGCGCATAGTTTGAGCAAGCGTTCATCCCATTTGCCTTTCTGGATGTCCCAAAGGTTCATCCCGCATACATCTGAGATGTCAATGGGGGCAATCTTGCCCAGGAACAGAGATGCCAGGAAGGACGAGACGAGAGATATTCTCGAGGTCTTCTTATATGCATCTGGATATTTGCGTTGGAACCGTAGTATTTGCGGTCCAGTAAATCTCTAATACCCAATTAGTATCCTCGTCCTTCCTCCCCTTTCAAAGGAAAGCGATTAAAAAAAGGGGAGACCCCTTACGTGATGCGCCTTACTCCCCGTAACCTCTGCCAACTCCCCACTACCGCCCAAAACCTCATCAAACTCATCACACTCCCGCTGCGTACTAGCATCCTGCCAATTGGGACTGAAGGGATGCGACAGCGCCGTCGCAACCTGGCCCTCCAGCCCCTCCCCCGCATCCAACGAAGCCAAAACTCGCTCCGCCTTCCCATTCCAATAGACGCTGCCATGCTGCTGTCCCGCGCCGCTGATGGCGCATACACGGCCAAAATCCAGCCCTTGCCTTTTCAGCTGGAGTAGCACGCCGTCCAGGGCCTGCAGCCACATGGCGACGGGGGCGAAGACCTCATGCTCTGCTTCGTTGGTCTGCACGCCATTTTTCATGGGGAAACCGTGGGAGTCGGCGTCGAAGTCGAATATGGCGATGTGGACTACTCTAAGGTCAGAGGTGACAACGAGGGCTTTTAGTTGTTGGGTGGAGAGGTCGAAGCCAATGTAGAGGGGGCCTGATTCTTGAGCTTCGGAGGGCATGGTGGGAGGTGGGGGGGGGTTCTATTTCTTATGGTGATTGTGCTCCCTGTGTAAGATGGACGCTCTGTGCTCCAACGGCTGAGTTCGTTGTTCCGCTTAGCTAGAAATAATAACAGATTCAGTGGCGGAGTAGTTGCAGTGGAACGAAGAGTGAGAATTGAACAACAAGATAGGGCCCGCACTCTGCTATATGTATATATGTGTGTGTGTTACATGCAATTGCCACAGAAGATTCCTTTTCTTGCCGTGGTTTGGTCTTCTCAAGATTATCCAGAGAAGCCAAAATTCCATATACACATACTCCGTGGAGGCCACGATATTTCCAAGGCTATTTGCAATTGTTTCCCTGGACGACCCACCTAGAGCAGATTCTCCATCATCATCATCATCATAAAGGAGGACATATTTAAAAACAACGGGTTTGCGGGGAGTTGCGGGATTACCAGAAGATAACCGCAGATCGGAACCTTGGATGGTCCCTCTTGAAGGACTGTAATCCTGACAACCAACACCAACGTCAACACCAAGGGTAAAACTGGGGTAACTAGTTAACTAGCCATTTGGTTAACGACTCGAAAGAGAAAAAGCAAAGAAATGTAGCTGCTGCTGTGCTGCAGTTTGTGGTAGTAAAACAAATCCATTCCACCCCTGACCCACTATCCAGGAGGAAATGCGCCGGTGGAAGATCACTGATACCAGGGGTTGTAGTTGGTTAAATAGTTAACTATGTTAATGTCCATTTCATAAAGAGACACTCGGCCTGGTTGGTTTATGTAGCCAGTTCGAAGGATCAGCTATGCAATCCACAGGAAAGATATCCGAGAAATGATCGAACAATCACTTACACCATAGGGCCCAGTTTGGACTTGAGGTTTTTTTTTTTTTCCACACCGTTATCTCAATCCAACAAAGAAACATGCGCTGCGTCTCCTGAAGGTTGTCGTCTATTTAGATCTAGTTAGTTGTACGAAAGGTGCTATTTCTGCATTTCCCCATTCCATCATAAAACGAAGCAAAAGAAAACCCCTCCAAAAACCTAAAAATACAAATACTAATAGAATTAGAATAGGATAGAATATATAATCCAGCCTCCATCTGAAATAGCTAAGTTGGGTAATAAATTCGCAAACAAAAACCAACACCATAAATCTTACCTATGTCGAGACGGCAGCGATCCCATGTATATAGATAGATAAGAGACGGGTAGAAAATATATACCCCACGCCAGTACACCCGAGGTTAATTTCCTCTTACCTTATCTTCTGCTCTTCTTCCTCGTTTCCAAAAAGACGCGCAAGTCTCTATCTCTAGGCTTTCTCCAGCTGTTGGGTGGCTCCCACCGGAACCAGCCCAGCGGGGACAAATCGCAATTGGGACAGACGGACAGACAGATGGCACAGATAAAGGCGACAGGTATAACCTTGCTCCATCGGCTTTTTCCAGCACCAAAAAAGAAAGAGAAAGAGAAAAAAAAAAAAAAAAAAAAAAAAAAAAAAAAAAAAAACAAGAGCCAATCATCCAGATAGAAACGATACCCGACAGTTTTTAAACAGACACAATTAATCAAACAACCTCCTCCCTCCGCCCTAGAGTCGTTTATTCGCAACCCCTTCACCCCGCCCCTTTGCCCCCGAACTAACAACCACCCCATTCCGATCCGTATGTTCCTCATTCTCTTCCGACTCCGACTCCGGCTCCGGGCTGCTCCTCGGACTAACATCACGAGTAATAAACTCGTCCGCAACCGCATTCGCATCCGCATCTTCCTTGGCCAAAAACCGCACCTTAACCCTCTTCACACCTCTAACCCGCTTCCCAAGCCTCTCCCGAATCGCGTCCTCCACAGCCCGTGTCCGACTAACACTCCACGCCCCAGGAACCACAACATCAACCTCCATCACGTAATTCTGCCCAGACTTGATACCGCGCACATCACGAATCTGCACCTCTCCCTCTTCTCCCTCTCCCTCTCCTCTCCTTCCCAACCCCAACTCCTCAACCGCCTTCCTCGCACAACTCTCCACAGACTCCCTCATCTCCGCATCAACACTGACATCCACAAGCTCAAGAAGCGAGGTCTTTGTATTGCCCCAGCCAGCCTTGATGATCATGAGGGAGATGACGAGGCCGCCGACAGGGTCGAGCCAGGAGGCGTCGGGGAGGACGTGGGCGCCTCCGATGGTGAGGAGGGCGACGAAGCTTGTTAATGAGTCTACGCGGTGGTGGATGGCGTTTGAGGCGAGGACGGAGGATTTGCGTTGAAGAGCGATTTTCATTGCTGTTGATTTGGTTGTTAGTTAGCTAGTAATATTAATCAGAATAGCAATAATAATAATATTATTATTATTAATAAAAAGAAGTGCAAATGGTTGGAAGGAGGGTGTGGCTTTAGTTGTTTTAGTTCATGTAGATATACTTACTTGCTTGGTATAACGACTCCTTCACCAGAATGGACCCAGCAGCCAGCCACGCCGCATTAATATTCGGGCCCAACACTCCAGGGCCATGGCCATGCCCTCCATGGTCACCATGCCCATGCGAATGCAAATGCCCATGCCCCAACAACCCCCACTCCCCGGCCCATTCCGCGCCCGCTGGAAAAAACTGCGTAGCCAGCACCTCCACCGCATTCAACCCCATCAAGAACCCGCCACAGAGCAGCAGGCCACTAACGCCCAGCGCGCCCAGACTCTCCACCTTCCCATAGCCCAGTGGGAAGCGGGAGCTGGGTGGCTTCAGCGACAGCGAGACAGTGCCTAGGGTCATGAAGTCGGATAGCAGGTCTGTGAGGGAGTGGTAGGCGTCCGCGATGAGGGCGGTGGAGTTGAAGAAATAGCCGCCTATGCCCTTTGAGAGGGCCATTAGGAGGTTGGAGAGGAGGCCAATGCGGGTTATGCGAACTGCTGCGTCGGATTTGTTTGTGGAGAGGAGGTAGGTGGTGTCGTGGTGCTGACAATGGGAGTGGGAGTGGGAGTGGCCATGGCTCTGGTGGCCGTGGGATCTGGCTTTGGGGGTTGTCATGAGGGTGAAAAGGGGTAGAGCAGAGAGATGGGGTCGGGGGAGGGGATGTCGGGATGTTGTTGTATTTGTTGAAGGGATGCGGGTGCCGGTGTGGACAGGGTGGTGGTGTTGGCGGTGTTGGTGGTACTGGTGACGGGGAGCATAGGACGGAAGTTGTCTGGGGAGAAAGGACGCGGAGGGCAAGACGCAGACGGGGATGGAGATGGAATGCGAGTATAAATAAGAAGAGGAACGGAAGACACGTTGCCTTTTGCCAGAGCTGGCGAACTGTCGCGAGCAGGACGGGGCTTGAGGTGCAGGAATCGCAGGAGGAAAAGGGATGAAGCACCAGCACCGGCGACTGCGACGGGCCAGTGAGAGTCCGCGGGAGCAGCCTGGTGGCTGCAGGAGGAGCATGGCAACGCCAATTATTTAGTCTGATCCTGTCTATTCTGTAATTCTTTGTTCTATTCTATATGAGACTGTGCAAGGAGGAGAGGAGGGATGAGACGGGATGAGAGAGAGACAGCACAAAGTTATTTTATCTGCTTCTACCAAAGTTTTTTGTAAGGCAATAAATAGTTAACTATTTGCCATATGTACATTAACTCCAACTCTGTGCTCGGATGCTGAGATCCTCGAGTCGAACCACGCCCATACGTGACAGTTGATTAACATATTTGTTCATATTTCATTATTCAAGATGCGGAGAAGCCACACTGCAGAGAAAGGGTGAGATTTGTGTCAGCAGTTGTTAGTAGTTTTCTTGTTATAACTCCGTACCGTGAGCAGCAATGACTTATAACTACCCTACCCCAACGCTCTTTGGCAGTTGAATACCAACCAACAACGACTTAAAAAACAACCACGACTGCTATAAATAACCCCCTCTATCCTCCTCTCGCCAACTACTGCTATACCGACTACGGAGAACATCTACATCGGCTCCAACCACATCATGTCCCCCCCATGACGAAGCCCCTACTCCGGATCCCCTTCCCAGGCCCCCTCCCCCCTCCCATCATCCACCCGCCATCCGCCACCTCCATCCCCGCCGCAATCACCGCCATAGCATCCTTCCTGTCTTCCCCCAATATCAATGCCTCCCAAGACATTACCAACAACACCAACAGCACCCAAACAACCCTCCTAACCGGTGCCGGCATCTCCGTCCCCTCCGGCCTCTCCGACTACCGTGGCCCAAACGGCACCTACCGCCTCAACACCACCTACAAACCAATCTACCACCACGAATTCCTCACCCAGCATGCCTCCCGCAAACGCTACTGGGCCCGCAGCTTCGTCGGCTGGCCCACCCTCTCTCGCGCACGACCCAATAAAACGCATATCGCCATCGGCGAGCTGGGGAGGAAGGGGTACGTGCGTGCTGTGGTGACGCAGAATGTGGATTCGTTGCACGATGGGGTTGCGGGGATGGAAGTGGTGCCTGTTGTCGAGCTGCATGGGTGTTTGAGAGAGGTTGTTTGCGTTAGCTGTTCGGGGAGGATGGGGAGGAGTTGGTTCCAGGGGGAGTTGGGGAGGTTGAATCCGGCATGGGCGGAACGGTTGGAGGAGATGCGGATTGGGGTTGGCTTTGGCGGGGCTGCTCGTGGGTTGGGAATGGGAACGGAGAGTCTTCAGGGAGGCAATGAAGAGAAAAAATTACAGATCAATCCGGACGGCGATGTTGATCTCCCCAACGCACCCTACTCTCAATTCCGCTACCCGCCCTGCCCGCACTGCCTCGAGAGCCCGCCCCGACTCAAAGACGGCAGCATCGGTATCGTCGAAGCAGAGCGCGACGGGGCCATCTCTGCCCGCTCCAACGCAGGCATCCTGAAGCCAGCCGTGATTATGTTTGGAGAGTCGGTGGATGGCGCTGTCAAGCAGCGGGCTGAGGAGGCCGTGGATGGAGCTGGGAAGTTGCTTGTGCTGGGAAGCAGTCTGGCGACGTTTTCGGCGTGGAGGCTTGTGGAGCGGGCTGTGAGGAAGGGGATGGCCGTGGGGATTCTGAATGTGGGCGGGGTGAGGGGGGAGGAGAGGCTGTTTGGAGAGTTTGGTGAGGGGGTGGTGAGGGTGAGGTGTAGTGAGAGGGTCGAGGATGTGTTGCCAGAGGTTGCTGCGCTGCTTGAGGAGGTGTCTCAGGGTTGATGATGGTTATTATCCATGGGGTCTGGGAAAAAGATTCATTTTGACGCAGATCTCAGATCTAGATCTAGTTGGCTACAGCTACAGCTACAGCTACAGCTATTGCACATAGCTTACGGGATATATTTTACTTTGTTAGATTGAAGGCGCTGTACATGGCGAATAGACTTGCTCCATATTGTTTCATACACATCTAGATTTTGTATTTATAGCACGGCTTCGGGAGTGTTTGAAGCTATCGGATGAGCGGCAATCCACAGCGAACCAAGAGGTTTAACTCTGCAGCTGGTTGGTTTTTCTGACCAACCAACCGACACACGCCCTTGTCTACTCTGCTTCATCCCTGGCGCATCTCCAGTTCCTAAATAACTCACCATTTGCCCAATCTAAGCGCCCATCCTCACGCTGTGGGGTCTCACAAACCTCCGAATCCAAGCTCCGTCAAATCGCTGTCCCTTCATATCCACCCGTCCCTAAGGAAAAGTAACGTTAAACCACCACCAGGAACCCGTTTCGTCACGGCGTCTACAGAGGTCTCTGGCGACGACTCAACGGTCTTACTTGGGCCCCCTATCACGGTTCATAATTAGCGAGAGTTTGTTTCACATCTAGAGGGATGCCTCTTCGCCTCTAGGTAATTCAACTAAAATAAGCAAATTACAGCCCGGGTCTTGCTATGGACGATCCCAGCTCTACAGCCATTGAAGACCAACACCAACACCAGCACGAACAGCAGCACCAGCATCAACAGCCTCAACAGCCTCAACAGCCTCAACAGCATCAACAGCATCAACAGCCTCAACAGCATCAACAGCATCAACAGCATCAACAGCATCAACAGCATCAACAGCATCAACAACTTCAGCAGCAGCAACAACAACAGCAGCAGCAGCAACTTCATCATCAACAGCCCTTTGCTCATCCTCATCCTGCTGCTGCTCCTACTGTGCCGACCTCCTCTTATTTAGACATCGCCTCCTCCATCGCTGCTCCAAGCACCTTTCTCGTAAACGCCTCCCACTGCTACTCTCAACACCCCGGCTTCCGTCCGTCAAGAGCACGAGCGACACCAGGCGCAATGGAAAAACGACAGCCTCCCAGTTCCTTTCAGCAGCTTGAAAAGGTGCGGTATCGTAGTTCACATTCCATTGTAATTACCTATTGCTAACCTTTTTTTCCCCCCACCACTCAGCTCGGTGAAGGAACCTATGCTACTGTACGTGATTGATTGCGATCTGATGCGCTACTCCCCCTTATCCTCCCCCACTTTATCTCACCCACCTCTCTTCACTTATATTGATTTACATAACTAGGTCTTTAAAGGCCGCAACCGCCAAACAGGCGAGATGGTCGCCCTAAAGGAAATCCACCTCGACTCCGAAGAAGGTACCCCCTCAACCGCCATCCGCGAAATCTCCCTAATGAAAGAACTCAAGCACGAAAACATCGTCGCCCTCCACGACGTCATCCACACCGAAAACAAACTCATGCTTGTTTTCGAGTACATGGACAAGGACCTGAAACGCTACATGGACTCCCGTGGCGACCGCGGCCAGCTCGACTACGTCACCATCAAATCTTTCATGCACCAGCTCCTCCGCGGCATCGCCTTCTGCCACGAAAATAGAGTCCTGCATCGCGACCTGAAACCTCAGAATCTCCTCATCAATACAAAGGGCCAGCTGAAGCTGGGCGACTTTGGCCTCGCCCGCGCATTCGGGATACCCGTCAACACTTTCTCAAACGAAGTAGTCACCCTCTGGTACCGGGCCCCCGACGTCCTGTTGGGCAGCAGGACATACAACACAAGCATTGACATCTGGTCCGCTGGCTGCATCATGGCGGAGATGTATACAGGCCGTCCGCTCTTCCCCGGCACGACAAACGAAGATCAACTGCAAAAGATCTTTAGGCTAATGGGGACTCCCTCCGAACGCTCCTGGCCCGGCATCTCCAATTTCCCTGAGTATAAACCGAATTTCCAAGTGTATGCGACGCAGGATCTGCGGTTGATTTTGCCGCAGATTGACCAGCTGGGATTGGACTTGTTGAGTCGCATGTTGCAGCTAAGGCCGGAGATGCGGATAAGTGCTGCTGATGCGTTGCGGCATAGGTGGTTTCAGGATCTGAATCAGTTGCAGGCGCAACAGGCGGCGCAGCAGCAGCATCAACAACATCAACAGCATCAACAGCATCAACAGCATCAACAGCATCAACAACAACAACAGCATCAACAACAGCATCAACAACAGCATCAACAACAGCATCAACAACAGCAGCAGCATATGGCGGCTGGGTATGGGGCGCCGGGGATTATGTCGCAGGGTGGATATTGAGAAATTGTTTCCCCCCCTCCATCTTAGATTTGATTTCCTCCTTGCCTTTTACTAAATGGGGCTGATGACTGACCAAGCAAAAAGGCGTTTTTCATTCTTGGGCCGGGTTTTCATTTAGTATCCGCTTTTGTTTATTGTTGTGTACTTCTTTGTAATATGCATTAATATAATATAAGCAACGGGATGGGTTCTGGAATTTTGTTATTTTCGCTCCTAACACCCTGTGTATTTTATGCAAATGGATGGCTTTCCTCTTTTCTTTTCTATATTTCAATATTGAAGAAAGTATGGTCGAGCCGTTGTTTCAAGACGGAACCTCATCAAGTTCCAAAAGGAGAAAAGAAGAGAAAAAGGAAGATTCTTAAAGAATCTATAAATACTACCCAAAAATCCTGCGCCTCCCAATCCCCTATCTGCGCAACATGACACCCAAATCATGTCTTCCACTTGCAATGCACAATCGCACGCATAACTGGGTTCGCAAGCGGCGGACAGCGTTCAAGTGGGAATGGATCCAAGACCTGGCACTTGCTCTCCGAAAGGCCCCGCTCACATTTAAACTCGCCAAGCGTAGTCTCGGTGCCAGAGTAACTGCACTTTTCCCCCTGCGTTCTGATCGTCGGAAGCTTAGGAGGTAAGCCCGGTTTGTTTCCCGTGGCGTCTTTATTAGAGTCGGCAACAAGAAGAGGCGTGTCCCAGCACATGTCAACGCTTGCATCACCTGCTGCACCAAAAATATCCCACTGGCGAGTCCATACCTCACCACTGGGACCTTGAGAAAGACTCTCCATGAAAACCATGAGGACAGTGCCGGTCTTGGGATCCCGGTTTGGAGGCTTGCCAGACCCGTCACCTCCGCCGCCTCCTGTCCAGGACCACTCGCAAGTCCCGCTGGCGCAGCAGGAAGGTGATTTGGGCGAACAGCCGTTCTCCCCACACTCACACATTGGGCAGCTGGCATTGGCGCAGCAGCTGGGCGATTCACTGTCACATCCATTCTCGCTGCACTTGCACCGGTTTCCCGCGTCCAACTTGCATTTGTCGTCACAGGTGGGCTCCGGACCGGACGTTTTGGTGGTGGTCGGCTTATTTGTCGGTCCCGGTGGCGCATCGATGGTCCTAGTCGGAACTGGCTTGCTCGCGTTCGGATCTTTCGGGTCCCGGTGGTCAGGGGGAATTCCTGTCGGGTTGGGCGAACAGTAGAATCCTGTGCATAGGTGGCCACCGCAGCCAGTTATTGATGGGCAGGTAGGCGCCGGCGTTGCTCCGGTGGTGAAGGTAACTTTATGACCGCCCGTGCCGTCATCTGGAAGATGTGGACAGTAGGTACCATCAGCCAGGGTGCCAAAGGTGCCGGGACCACAAGGCTGTATAGTTTCTCCCTCATTCGTTTCCTGTGAGAGATCTCGGTTGATCTTTGGGCATGCTTGGGTGGTGTCCCATTGGGAAATAGTGTCATAGTCTCCTAGACACGAATAATCTATTACCTGCCCATTCCAGATGATAGGTTTCCGCAACAGAGGATCAATCTGCTGGTCGTGAATGGGAATGCGTCGGTGGAAGATCTTGACCATCTTTTTCACATTTTGGGGAAGAGCTAATTGATCTCTCCAGGGAGACTGTAACGATCTCCAGTAAGCTATCATACCAGATACCAGAGGGGCGGCTAGAGAATTTTGTTAAAAGAAATATAGTAAGCTAAACTGCCTTTGACGTCTTGTGCCATTGTGGTACACAAAACCTTTTCACTACTTTTCAACCCCAATACCCCGAAGGTATCACAAGGGACTGGCAAACTCACACAAAGAGGTTCCAGAAGCAGTTGTTAGAAACATAGGAGTCGAGATAGCCGGATCCAGGGGAACCCACAACTTCTCACCTGGAGCAAAAGTCGTCAACCAATCCGAAAATTGGCTAAACTTTGCTTGGCAGGCTTCATGAGATGTTGCCCCAACGACAATGAGGTTTGGAAGGTAACCCAGTCTATTTGCAGGGTTCCCTAACAGGGCGGGGTAACTATTGATCATCGGGAATTTGGGGGAGTCATTGCCAGATGTGGTAACTAGAACAGCCTGTACTTGGTCTTCTAATAACTGAAGGTGTGTAACTGCAAAGGCGTAGATTTAGTTTCTATTTAACAAGTATGAAAGAGATAGAGTCCAGTCTTTGTTAACGACCAGGAGATAGGAAAGGGACCCTGGTGAATTGGCACAGAAAAAGTGAGTGGAATCCATAAGGAGATCTTTGCAACTTACAAAATGAGCGAAGGAATGTAGCGTTCAGAACGCGCCCAGCGAACGAAAAGCTCATGTTAACAACTGCCTTACCCTGGAGATTGTTTCTCTGAATATCCTCCAGAATGTCTATCAATCGCTGCAGGACCCGTTCAACTGCCCGCTCATACCAAGTGTCACTAGGAATGCGTTCAACACCTTTGATAGGAACAAGTACAATCCTGCATTTTATGCATGAACCTAACACAGATCCACCCACCTTGGAGGCGACCGAAGACCCATGAGCTAGATCGGGTGAACTTATTGGGACAGTCCCAAATGGGTTCGTAATAGGCAACATCTCAATTGATCCTCCCATGTTTTCAAATTCCTGTACATTAAGCTTTGACATTAGTATTATTGTTATTATCATCATTTGGGCTTGAATCATGCTCAGTCGGGTTGGTGCGGTGCCTAGCAGTGCCAAGATTACACAGAATAGGAGAAGTTAAACTCAGCTACTCACCGCATGGTTTGGCCAGTAACCGTCTTCATCTAACAAATATACTGTTTGGCCTTCCCCGTTCGCAGAATCATAACGATATACCCAGTTTCTGGATTGTGGATCTACTGACCCGCTAGAAAAACTATTCCAATGCCAGCCCTTAGGTATAGAGATTTGGGAAAGATCCCATGTAAAAGGACTTAATTTCTTCGCCGGAAATCGCTTGTTGAATCGGTTTAACGTCGCATTACCATGGCCATGATCCGAAATCACATCGCTGACATTTGACCGGCTGCCAACGCCCTGTGTTAGGGAATTGGCGAACGTACGCATGCGAGGGCGAGGCTCCACCGGACCAACGTTGGCATTCCATTGTTGGTAGTAATAAGCGAATTCGACGTCAGGCTATATAAGAGATCAGCGATTGCCCTCTTGAACAGTAGCTCTTGCGGTAGATCAGCACATACAGATTCTCTCAAGACATCCATGGTCTTCTGATCCAAGACGGGAACCCAGAAGAATGACGTGAACTGGAATGACTCGGACTTAACTTCCACATACTTCCCTTTGTAGGCAGCGAGAATGTCAGGAATCTTCCCAACATTTCTCGGATTGGATGGATATACAATAGCGTCTGCTGGGCAGCCGGGAGGTGGTGGACCAGCAGCAGCAACCAGTCCAGACTCAAGTTTTGACCCGCCAGAATCAGGGTTGCCTGTTTGAAGAGCCTTCGGTCTGGTGGTTGGCAATGGGCAGTTATCAGAAGTTTTTGTCGTAGTTGTTGTTGCCGCTCCACCTGAGACTGAACAACCATAGATCGTGTCACACGTAGACAAGGTGGATGAAATTGTTGAGGTGATTGTTCCGGTAGTTGTTATTGTCTTGAACACAGTTTTTCCACAGATTGATGCTGATTTTTTCTCGCACTTAGTAGGTTCCTGTTTGGGGTATGTTACAATATTATCGTGGCCAACGCTTAATGCAGGTTAGTTCATCTTGTATCTCTGTGATTGGCAAGGGTTGGGAAAGCTCAGATCAAAAGATCTTACGTGATTTGGGGCCAAGGCGGGAGAGGAGGTTTGATCGACCATGTTGGAGGCAGATCAATAAGGCGGGCAGGCGGTGGGCCTCTACACTCCAAAAAACAGATCAGCAGCATATCCACTTGCACCGGGATCTGACTTGAATGTACTGCTTACGGTGGATATACTCCTGGTGGCAGAATCCACTCCAACCCCTTGAATGTACCTTTGTTGAGACATATCTGTACCTGGTTAGTAAGGGCTTATCAAAGATAGTATGCTCAGTATTCTGGGGGAAAGCATTACGGAGAAAAACCAAAGGTTGCAAGGCGTTTTGCCTGGCTCTGGGTCATCGACTTCCTCCTCAATCGGGATAACTGCCCTGGGGGGCCACGTTGACCACACTGGCAATGGCCAGGTAGTCGTCTATAGTTTCGGATCACGGTTAGCTCTCAGCTACCTATATTTTGAGTTTGGAAGTTTTTGAATACCTACCGGGTCTCCCGTGGGCACCGGGGTTGTGATTGGCGGCTCCTTACTGAAAGTTGTGGAGAGAGTGCAGTCAACTGTAAAAACTCCAGCAGATGAGCCAAGAAAAGTGACAACTTTTGTTGCAGGGCAAGTGAAGGCAACAGAGATTGTGGTGGGAGTCGGACAGTAGACAGTGGCTATAGTCTTTGGAGTATTGAAAGGAACCTTTGTGTTAGGGGGGCATGTGACTACAATTGGACTAACTGTTGCTGGGAATGAAATAGTTGTCACTATTGCGCGGGCAGCAGATATAGTGGTCACATAAGGAGTGTGATAAACTCCTGGTCTGGTATCTTCGTCTGTCCGTGTAGCAGTATGGTCCCCCCGACGGGACCCGTCAGGGGGCCCTCTAGTAATGTCGGGCCATGGCGGAACAGTTACATTTCGAGTTGTAGTCTTTCCTTCTCCGTCTGGCAAAGGCACAGGAATTGGGGGGATATCAACGCTGGGCAATACAGTAAGTGTGGACTTTGCCTGTCCTTCAGTCATATTGATATTTGAGTAGGGTATGCCATCAGTGGTGATCGGGTTTATATCCAGCGTCACCGTCGTAGTTGTTGTGAAGAATGTTGGAATTGGCTGTCCGCCGATAGTTGTGGTGCCACTACGGCCATATTCGAGAGAAGTTGTATACTTACCTGGATCTATGGTCGTTTTTGATGCAAGTGAACTTGTTGGGAAAACAAGAATACAGTTGGCAGGGCATGTGACTGAGGGCTTGTTGTATACTTCAGTCCCGACATAAACAACGTCGAAATTGTCATCCCCAGGCAACGGAAGCCATACGCTGACTTCTGTAGTAAATCCACTGATATTGGAAATTTTTATCAGCGGCAATTCCGGTTTAAGAGCAAGAGATTAGAAAGAACAGACAAACCTTTGGTTTGAGTCATTTTGAAAAATGGCCCCATTGCTAACGGATGAAGGATTAGCCACTTCATGTCTCTCTCTGAGGACTCAAGAAAAGGGTTTCTTACTTAATGCCAGTTCCAATCTTCTGGACACCCACTGTGAAAATATTGAAAAGAGCAACATCCTTGCTTCCTCTGACTTCAAGAAGACCCTCTTGGCAATTGTGTTTCGGGACGCAGTCTTGGTAGTACTCCTCAAAGAAGCTATATAAACCTGAGCTGTGGAGAGTTATACCCTCAGAGTTTATGATACGCAAACCCCAAGCTTCTTGACAGCCGATAGTCTTGCACTTCTCAAAGGACGGATCACCAGGGAACTCCTTGCCGGTCTGAAATGGTAAAGGTGCCAGCGGGACAGGTTGGAAATATGGGGTCTCTGTTTGAATGTGACCAAGATACACCTGTGAAAAACAATTAGTAAACAGTGGTTGACTGTAAAAATATACTCAAGATAGCCGCTCACATCTTTTGCACCATATAGTTGATACTGATACAAGACAGTGTGCTCTGAGCCAGTGCCGTAGAACCAGGATGGTCCCTTAGACTCGATCAATGTACCACGGGCTGCGTATAAGCTAATTTGATTTGATATTTTATCCGGGGTGTTATAGACATTCATATCATTATCACTGCTCACGAGAATCAGTACGCAGTATGACATAATGTAGGGAGAAGACGAAAGATAGGTAACCCACTGATCTGCCAGCCATATCCAGACATTCTCGAAATAACCCGATGCCTGGGGGGTGACATGAAACAGCAGCGAAGCACAAATACAGCTGTCTTCGTAACCAAACTTCGAGCAAGTCTTGAAATCTAGATCACTACCCGCAGCTCCCCCAATTCGAACGTGCGAGTCCCACATAGCCGCTGTCCCCCGGAAGTTTCAAGTTAGTTAGCGTTCATGTGATCTGCATGGATGACAACATCCAATGGTTGTATTGTTGACTAACCGGACCCTTGGCTGCTCTCGTACACATTCCATTCAAGAACGATGGCACCCGCTGTGGCTCCCTGCACGGTGAACATCATATCGACTATTTCCATGGTACCCACATCGCCCTTCTTTCCCACCTGTACTACCACGCGAGGGTTATGCAAATCGTTGAAATAGAAGCCGGCTCCCTGTATTTGGGACCAGCTCCCGCCTACCACTCTAGAGCCAGTTGGTATGAGTACAGTGCTGCCTACCCGGTAGATGCCCGCTGGGAAATACGCAATCTGGCCGGCGTCCTTGGCTGCTTGAAGAAAGCTATTAATAGCCTGTGTGTTATCCCCAGTGCCATCATTCTTGCAGCCATGTTCTGTGGCAATTAGAAACTGGCCTATCCCAAATTCCTCATACTGAGGGCGACGTCGATAGAAGAGCTTGCCATCCTTGTCAAGCAAACGCGACCCCTTGCGAGGTGCGTCAACTTTGCCTGAGGTATATGTTCCCTTGTAGCCGTTATAACGACGTCCAATGGCCCAGAGGTCAACTTTGCTAGTCCCCGCGAGGATTACCTCACCAGTCTCACTTTTAACAGTTGTTCCAACATTACTCATCTCCAGGTTGTCAATGACAATATTGGGGGAACTATTTTTGGTATCTTTCTGAGAGTTGGTCAAGATAGCAATCGGGCAGTTGGATATTTTGGAATCTGTGTGCATCAGCTCAGTTCAAGATCCTTTTATGATGTGATTTACCAACATACCAATGATGGAAACAGATCCTATCCCTTGACCAGTGCTACCGCCCCTGCCACTAATGTTAAAAGCAATGGCTCCACCGTCGACTTGAATACGTTGCCAATTGAAACCCCAGTCCCAAATCATCTGAACTGCAGTGAGACAGCCATTAAATTTAATATTCATGGCTGTGTATTGTTGAGAACCTGTGTATTTTGTGGATCAGGACCATCTCAATAAGCATTCATAGAGTAATAGCCTGCAATATCGCTCACTTACCGGCACGCCAACCAATGTTGCCCCCGTTAAACACCAAATCTGACACAAATCCGCCGCTACCGTTCTCCATAAAAATGCCGACGTGGGTGGCCTTGTTCTTATCAGTGGCCTTTGGCATGTTGAAGACCAGATTCTGCAATGAGCAAGCTTGAGACACCTGCCAATGGATACCAGTTGGTACAAGCGGTTGATCGTGGTCATTTGTCTGCAGGGGCATCTCAGTCAAGTCGAAGATAAAGTTCCGAATTTGACGGAAGAATTGGTTTTGGTTGATGTACCAATTTTGGCCATTACCACCAGGGATATAGGGATCTGTATCAAAAAGAGCAATGCCTTGAAATGTATCACACCCCTTGATTGTCGGCGGATCAAGGGCATCACCGATGAACTGGGTATAATAGAGCTGAATAACAGGTCTACAAATCTTGTATGTCCCAGGCTATAAAAAAATAGATTGAATCAGTTGGAAAGTCAACCTAGATGACATTAAGAAAACCCACTCACGGGAAAGTAGATAATGGCCCCTAGCATAAATGTGTTTCCACATTCCAACCCACACCGGTTACCATCTGCAACGGCCGCATTAATTGCCTCTGTGGCATCCTTTTTGCCGGTATTATCGGCTCCATATTTGACAACATCCCTGTAGAACTTGTAGTTTGTTCCCGCAAGAGGTTGCTATACAGCTAGATTAACTTCCACAAAATCTCAACGAGTCAGAAGGCAACTTGGCCTACCTTTCCCAGCGGTGCAAGTTGTGGCAACCAGTAATTGCTAACCGCAGCAGTAACGTTGAAAGGATCTCCAGTTACTTCCATGACCTTACCGGAGTCTCCAATCAGGGTGTGACCGTATCCTGCTGGGTCCGCAAGATGTGCCATATAATTCTTGAGACTGCCTGACTTCAGCCAAACGGGGCCATTTTGTTCTCCTAACGCAGGATAAGCCATGTGTTGTTAAAGCTTTCTTTGGCAGGACTCCCATCTAAGGTTCGGCACCTACCTTTATCTGGGGCAACTTTGAAGTAATTATGTTGGTTATCCACCATATAAGGGGCATTGGGCTATCATTTCAAAGTCAACTTTGAACTCGCTCAATAGTAAGTAGTAGAGTATTTTGTCTTTACCTGTGGTCCATACTTGGGAAGGTCAGGGTACTTCGCGGGGTCATACAACAAACCACCCTGTCCCACTGCAAAGGACAGAAGCCCAAGCAATACTCCCAACGAATACATATTCTCTGGTCGTATCACGGCCATGGTTGCCCAGCAAAACCACCTCTACTTGCTATTTGAGAGGCAGGAGAACATTGTTTATTTAGAAAATCTACCACCTTCAGGCCAAAGCCCCTCTCTGTCGGATATAGAGGGGAATTGTCTCTTTTCCCGACCAAAGATATCTCCAAGCTGCATGCAGTGATAAAGCAAGGATCCAAAGTTGCCCACGAAGACATCATCCCTGGACAAGGTATGGATTAATTTTGCATTGAAACCATGCTTGGGCCATGAGATCCTGTGAGATTAAACTGGGGATGCAGAGGGGCCACCCCGAATAGAAGGGGTGTTCTTGGTTGTTTGGCAAGCGGGTGTCTGGATTGCACGAATCCATGCACGAGCACCAGAGTAACGAAAACATTTCCAGGGCTTGAACTTGAGACAAGGAGAAACTCTGTTCCTCTACCAATTCGATAGTCTGCAATCCGCCCACGAGAAGTTCTCAACGACCGGGGAAAGACGAGGAGCAGTAGTACCTAGTGGCGGTGCTACCGTTGCAAGGCAGCAGCATGAAAACTGCCAGATCCTTGAGAAGTTAATCATGAACTTGTGATTACTCCGAGAGCCTATTTCGGTCTATTATTATCAAGTTGGGGTGGGAGGAAGAAAGGATATCTCAAGATCCCCAAATTGCAAAGAGGTTCGACTGAACCCGACACCTAACGATCGCAGTGTCACGTGATGTTCGTACAATATCAACAGGGGATCCAGTCTTGGAAATAAATCCGTAGTTAACTGAAACAGACCGGAAATCCACCAAGCAAGTCCAATAGGAATGAATTTGGACGAAGAAAAGCCGTAAATTTCAGGACGAAGGTATGATTACCGTACTGCGTATGTCACAGTGGGATCGCTCCGGCCCGTAGTCAGCCGTCAACCTCCTCTGGACTTTGTCCCGCTTGCCGCTGCCGAGTCCGTCCTATGCCCTTGGCCGTAGACGACGCCTCTCCGCGGATTCTCCACCGGGGTCGTCGCTAGATGATAATAGTCGAGAGGGATCAACCTCATCTTAATCTCTCCTCACGTCCATGCGTATATCAGAGATTTTTACTTTAAGCCGTTAAGAATCAGAAGCACGAGAGAATTTCTTATGATTCTGATCAGAGTCCTCAGAGCAGCTCTCAATTCTCCATATATTTAAGCTTTGGTCAGCCAGAGGCCAAAAATCCCTGGAGACTTATTATGGCAACCCCCCTTGATTTCCAGGCACATTACATCAAGCAAACCTTGCCGTTCTGGCTGTTTAATTGCTGATTTTCACATCCCAGATAACTTACTTGTCCAACCCAGCCCGTGGTGTCCTCCCCGGGAGTCTATACCTGTATACACTGTCACCAGACATGGGAGTTGAACTCAGGAAACAGGATCCCTACTCCTGCATATAAGTGAACTGGCAATTTCCCAGGGTGACATTGCTTTCAAGGTCACTTTGCATGATCACTGGATAAAGTTTGCGACAACATCAGGACAGGAGAGAAACTTATGGATTTGCTATAAATACCTTGGCAGATGGCCGGTGATTATGTCTCATGAGAGTTCAAATCCACTTTGACCTCCACAGCAGAAATCAGTGTCAAAAACACCCTATCGAAGTCCTGCAAGTATGTTGTTCTCGTCGACCTTCATCAAGTTCACAGCCCTTGTCCTAGCTACCCGCGCCGCCGCGAGCCCTGTTGTGGTTGGCATTGAGCCCCAGGCCCGGCGTGTCTGTTACGACGAGACCCCAGCGCTGCATTGTTACTCAGGAGGCTCCGACATTCCGCAGAACGTCAATGAAACCGATGTTAGCTTCATAGCGGCCTCTCTGCGCGCTTACGGTCGGCAGACCCGATTAGGTCGACGTAAGGGCCCGAAATTTCTCTCCCCTTCTAACAATCGAGATAACTGCAGTGGGTGTGTGTGAAGGAGCATGGTTGAAACAAAAGGCTAATATATATACCAATATAGTACTTACCATGACCACAGCTGATGCACCTGACTGTGGAGAATGGTTCCTCTACTCACGCAATTCTGCAGCGGCATATGCCAAAAAGATTGACATGACGTACAACTCGTCTGTTCTCTTTGAGGAGATTGCAAACACCATTGATGGTGGCACTGGCGTGGTGAAGCAGACAGGCATTTTTAGATGCCGGACGGACGGCGGTTCATACGGTGTACAAGTCAATGCAACCGCTCCAGCCTACACCACGAAAGAATACATCGAAGCGGGGCTCAAACCTAGCGGTATCATTATCAAGATCGTTGCCAACAAGTAGAGATTACAACGGCTCGAGGGAAGATGCCAGATTTCCCTTCCCGTGAATGCCAGCCAGGATGAGTCGGATTCGTTCCTTTATAAAAGTCTCTTCTTCGAACGACGCGGGTTGTGTCGGACTGCTGGAAGTTTGTTCAAGCGAGATATGAAGGATTGGTTTCAGACATATTAACTTTAGGGGTGATTCTAGACTAAATTCACACCTTTCAAAGTGCATAAATCAATGCATTTCAGGGGTAACGACTCTTGTTCATATTTCTCCGGCTCTAGCCTCTCTAAGTCACATAACCCCGCCCTGATGATCCCTCATATAACCCTAAACCGGGTTCATCGGCGTCGTAAAGAATTATCTTTATTCATCAAAAATTTGAAATCGCGTTAAACCCCGGGTGGAGTATCGAGGTAGCTCACTGGACCAATTGAGCTATAACCAATCCCCGCCAGCCCTAGGTAAATGCATGGACATGCATTTAAGACAACGAGTGTCTTCTACTGAATATATGCCAAGGAAAACACACCGTATGTATCAAGAACTTCATCACAATAACCCTGGCCCGAGAGAAGAATTCATGCCTGCCAGAATCCCTGCGAACATCCAAAATTATCCGTCTGCAAGAAGAGAGGGCGTTCCTGAGCTAGAACATTACCGCTAGTTTTGTACGGAAGATTCTGGAGAAATTATTGGAGCACGGACGAAACCAATCCGCGGAGCGCTGACCGTCGTGCCTGTGGTTGAACATGCCGTTTTTGAACCTGACTCATCAGAATCTTCATCTCGTATATAAATCCCCTAGAATTCCGCAAAGGTCAGATATCAAGGAGAGGGCGGCAATAACCTGAAACATGATTGCATACTTTGACCTACTGCCCGCCGGACAGTTTCTTCCGAATTTTGAGAGTATGTTATGTTTTATTCCGTTCAATCTGCACTGTTTGTCAGGTAAGAATATAGTTTACGGACAAATCATGTGCGGAGTAAGATTTCTGTAGCTAAAGTTGGCTGGAGGGAAAGACTTTTGCCTCACCCTGGGGTCACACTAAATCAAATTAGAATAGCGCAGGACCTCGTCCAGGGACTTTCAGAAGTAAAGTGGTCCGTCCTAACGACGGAGTAAACTTAGGTTAAAGTTAAGTTGATCTGTTGACATTTGCAAGCGCTGTTGTGCCTTAACTGGTTAATTGTTTGATAGTGACCTCTGTAGGAGCTTCAGATAAGTTAACAAGCGTGGGATGATCGATGTCATTCCAGTTATGTATGAAAGAAGTAGGCTTGGAAATTCAAACACACCACGGCTATAATCCGTATCCTTATTTCATAGCTTCATTAGGTAGGCGGTATTTCTTGAGCTGCTGTGGTTGTTCATGAAATGAGATATTCCATATACCCGCTGAGATTCCTCCAGTTCCGCCTTATTACGATCCCCCAGGTACGGAATAGTCACTGCGCTGTACAGAACTGGGGGATAATAACTACCCTAAGCGGCCCTGCATGGACGGTGGATGGATAAAATAATAGGGATCGCCATGTCGTTTTGAGAATCCAGGATCAATTTGAAACTCTTGGCCGCATTCCCTGGGACCCAAATGCAGGAGGAGGACATTTGCTCTGGAAGTAGTTTCCAGGCCCTGATATTATGAAGAACTCATCCACTTGCACAATTGTATACCGTATATACATTGGATGGATGCCCCCTTGATTCTTCTACCACGTGACCTCGTGTCTCCGCCATCTGGCCCCAGCGCGTCTTCCAATCTCAACGTCAGCATTCCGACAACATTGAAGGATGATCAAAGAAGCCATTCAACAATACCCCAAGTACCTGGGACCCAAAATGCCAACACCATCGCCAGCAGCTAACCAGCAAAATCAACATCAACAACCCCAAGACCCCCAAGACCAAGCCTCCCCATCCCCACCCCCTCCCGCGCCCATCCCTCTCACCCCAGGGCCCCGCGCCTCACGTCTCCAACAAGTCTTCTCCCAAGCCCTCCAACATACCATCCGCGCCAATTCCTACGCAAACTTCTCCGCCTGCTTCCCCACCCCGGCCAAACATGTCCCGCAAAGCCTGGAGTCGGTCTGGCGGCAACTAAACGCGAAGCTGGAGGAGAGTGCTCGTGCGGAGTTTGAGGATGTGCTGAGGGTGAGGGAGGTGGTGAGGGGGTTGAATGAATTGGATCGATTGGTTGGGGAGGCAAGGGTGAGGAGGGAGAATGGAGAGGGGGAGGCGAATATGCCGTGAGTTTGCGCCCCTTTTTTTTAGTATTTTTTTTTATTATTTTCAATTTCCCCTCCTCCCCCCCCCCCCGGGGCCCCTTTGGCTTTTGTGGGGAAGCGGTGATAGGATATGATACGCGTGGTATGTGGGCTACGGAGGATATGGAAGTGGGATTTGCTGACAATCTGTCTCTACAGTCCTCACACACTAGGAGCAAATGCTCTCTATCAAGCACACCTTGCGCCATATCTGGCAGAAGCGCAATCGTCACTAAATGCGAAATTGGCATCCGTTCAGAACGAGAATATCAACCTTTCGGAGAAAGTTGGAGCGCAGAGACGGGAGATTGAGCAGCTGTTATCTGGCCTTGAAGCAGTGATTAGTGACGTGGAGGGCGCCGCGGATGCTATGGCGGCCTTTGACAGGAACCGCAGCCTTCGTCAAGAGGCGCAGGAGATGGATGATGAGGTTAAGGCCGCTCAACGCCAGCCATGATTGATATTATGTTTATAATTTTACATGGGGAATTTGTCTACCTAGGAATTATTATACCGTAGGCTTCGCTCGCATATATCAAAACACGATCTCATCCGGATCAACTTTCCGGAAGAGTCCATCCATGTCTTCCTGCGAGACCAGTCCATCCTCAACCATATCCTCCGCTATCTGCATCAATTCCTTCTTCGAGCTAGCTACCAGCCCTTCCATCCTCTGAATGTCTCCTGAAAGAGCAAAAGCCAACGCTTCCTTCGCCGTCCCCTCTCGATCCAGTTCAATCGAGCCATCCCTCCGAGCCAGACCAGCTGCCCCACGATAATAAGTCTGCGCATTCCTCAGGAGCGTCAAGGAATTCTCGAGCGACACCTGGTAGTTCCACGGTTGCCCACCCAGCCGCCATCGGTACATCTCCACATCCCCCCTCGCAAGATGGATCTTGGGTAGATTTTCAGCCTGACAAAGCTTTGTCGCTGCCGTCAGAGAATCCAGCGCTGACGACAACGCCTGCCATCGTAGCGCTAATAATCTATCGAACACTTTCTTATTATCCGGCTGCTCGCAATCCGCCATCGCAGAATTGAAAGCTATCAACGCATCCGCTTGGGTGCAGAGGGCCGCTGGTTTCTCCGACAAGTCCTTCACATCCGCAAACGCCCCGCTCAGTTCGTTCTTATACGTGTCGAAGTCAACCCTCCCGCTCCGGAACGACATCTCTGCCAGTGTTGAAACGAACTTGGCACGCGCTAGCGCTATCTCGTTCTGCCTATCCGTCCCCTCGACATACGCCCCAATCTTCTCCCTCAGCAAATCCCCAGAATACTCTTCGATCCACGCAAGAGTGTTCCCGGTATCGAACGTAAGCAACCCACAAAACGTAGCCAGTGTTTCCAACTGCGCAACCGCGGTATCGACAAGCGTGTCCTTGGTGACAGGTTCGATGATTGCAGCCCACTGCTCCGACTGCTCCGGCCGCGCCGTTCCCTCCATACCCTCATGATCCGCTTCTGAATGACCTTGCTGTTCACCCACCTGTAACTCACCGGACTCCGCCACGCTGTCCGCCTGCTTCTCCTGCCCCTCCGTAAACTGAAGCTCCTGCACACTCAGACATCGCTGGAATAGATCCAACGCCTCCTGCAGATACCTCGAAGCTTCGTGGGTATCCTGCTCAGAAGCCCGTCGGCCTTCGGTGATCGCTTCGGCCAGGCTGGTCAGGACCTGCGCGGTGTTGAAGAGGATGTCGGCGTTGTCTTGCTGGAGGGCCAGGGCGTGTCTGTGGGATTTGAGGGCGATATGGAGGATTTCTACGATGGGGGCGGTGAGCTGGGTGACTAGCTTTGGATGTTGGGTTATTCTGTATTGTATTCGTGCCCTATATTGTGTTTGTAACGCAACCACGGGGTAAATTGTGAGCGGTTAGCATTCTTTTATTCCTTTCCCTTTTTATTTTTCAATCGTGGAATCCAAGGGAATCAGGTAGTCGAAGAGCAGTAATAAACAACTAAATCTGAAAAAGAAAGTGGATGTAAGTAAGTATACGTACTTATTATATGCCAAATCAAACGAATTCGGAAATCTTTTTAACCCCGTATCATACATCTCGATAGCGCGCATGAAAAATCGCATGGATTTCACAGCGTCCCCGGCTCGCCATTTTTCACCTGCTTCTTCTAGCTCGATACCGCCTGCAAAGGTTTTGGTTTGTTGTCAGCTCAACTTTTTTATTTTATTTTATTTATTTATTTATTTATTTATTTTCGTGTGGTTTGTATTGCTGGGGAATGGCAACGTACCGGCAAGGTATTCGTCGGCTGTTTCGGGCTCCTAGTAATTGTTGGGAGAAGAGAAGGTTAGCGAGAGAATAGAGAGAAATGGATGGTGGGAATTTGGCAGTATGGAGAAGGTCTACTTGTGTTGTATTACATGGAGAAGAGACGGGGAAGGCAAGGGAGGTAGGAGAACTGGAAGGACTAGGGGAAAGGGAGTCGGAGGTTGCGGGGGAACAGCGTGCAGAAATTGCCGAACGCACATGTAAGTAAACAGGTGCACAGCAGTTATCAATTCAAACACAAGGAGAACCAAAAAGTATCTGTGTAGCCTTTAAATCAAAGACTACGCATATGGAAATAAGAGTATTGGGAAAACCCTTTGAGATTATACTGACAGCATTCGTCACTTTCCGTTTCGACTTCGACCCCTTCAATAATTGTTTTGGTTTTGGCATGGTTGCGGCGGCGTGGGCGCAAAGGTGGCTGGCGCGCAGATCTGTTGGGTGGGTGGCTTGGTAGGAAGATAGTAGCTAGGGGAGGAGGAGGAAGGAGGAGGAAGAAGGAGGAGGAAGAAGGAGGGTCGGTACATATATATAGAATAATTCAGGCATGTGAGACGGTATCTTCCAGCGGAACCCAAAGGCGCGGTGGTCGCTTGCAGGAGGCAGAGTCTGGAGTCAGCGGGAAGAGGACTTGGCTGGAATGGGAAAGGTGGCTTGGGGAGGATCCACGCTTGGAGATTGATAAGATTAGATCCGCCAACTTTGGTTGGTCAGCTGCTGTGATCTTCGCTGCTGATAAATATTAGCATTGTTCTCATTTGTATCTGTCAGTTACGAATTGACTTGGGCTCAATGGAGTAAAAAAAAACATAATTGGTTAGCACTTTACATTTGCTTGCGATAACTTAACATTACAGCTTTGATGAAAAAAAGTTGTGCGTAATCTTAAACCTGAGCAGATTGATATGTTAGATAGAGATGCTGGGTGAAAAGAGCGCTGTTCAAGCTCCATCAATCTGAACCTCCAGGAATAAATTCATGAACGAAAAATATTAGTTAGCCAGGGCTGGCCCTGAGATTGACAGTTGTATGTAAATATATATATACAAGATCGCTTGAAATAGGCAAGAAGTGCATACAATAGTAGTAAATACTCCATATGCTCCCACACCGAGTGCAAACAGCAGTTGTCTTGAGCAAGAGAACTGTGCATCTCTCAGTCTTCCCAGGGCGAGCATGACAGCGGAAGAAGCTCAATGGAAGTCAACGAATACATATATATATATATATATATATATATATATATACC